CTGCTGAGTAAGATAGCTGTGAATCTGGTTCAGAAATACTGGGGGTTCTGCACTTTGTGTAGAAGCTGACTTCAATCAGTAATCAGAGCAAGAATGGAAAATGAAGAAGAGAGCTGCTGACTGAATGTGCCAACCCATCCAGAACAGTAAAGAGCTGGAGGAACCTCCCCATCCCAAAATTCTTAACTGTAGAACAAAGCACAAAGGAGGAATTGGATAAGCTTATTTCACTAGGATTTGAAAAACTTCAGAGATATCATTAGCTACAGCAGTGGATAAGCGAAGAATCTCTATTTATGAATAGAAAATAAGAAAATGAAAAGAATGATAGCATTTTCTCACTTTCTGTTAAGGTTGAAATATTGGAGGATAATATCGATGACAAGAGTTTTTCTATATTGGATATGTCAGCAGAGTTTGACAAGGCTCCCCAGGAAGAAAGAAAGCATGTTTGTGCTCAGGTAGTGCTCCCTTTGGTGGGTAACTTTCCCAGCAAGGTACCACTGTGTCATGCTTGTTCCTTGAGAGGTTTTGTAGAAAAAAAAAGACAGCAGAATTTGACAGTAAAAGTAATAAAACATTTACAAAGATGTTGTTCTGGTGCTGGGAAAAAACAGTAAGCAGTGCTTATAATCAGAAGCTCTGGGCAGCTCGGCAAAAAGCATCCAAACTGCAGATAGACAAGCACTAATTTGAATCTGGTCCAGTGGAAGTCATCTATGCAGGAGGAATGAGCAAGAGGTACATTTAGACTGAGCAAATAGCGAGGCTACGCTCCATATGTACACCATGAGAAATAAAATGAAGTTGTAACCTGGTTAGGCAAAGTGATGCCTGATTCTCCCACCCCACCTGAGCATGCTAGTGGGCAAAGAAGATATCTTTACAGGTTATAGGATGTAAGACTTAACAAAAAGCTTAAGAAACTGAAAGGATTAATTAACAGGCATCTAGTTTTGACATATTATTGCAGTATCCTTAAACCTGAGCTGTCTATGAGAGGTGATGGTTGTTTCAAGCAGAGCTGTTGGGCAGCAGTGGGAGGGGGCCAGGGCGAGGGTGGCCACAGGGCCAGGACATGGCTGACGAGGAGAGCCAGGCAGGCCCAGCCATGGTGGCTGGGGTGCGGTGGTGGCTGGGCTCACCCGTGGCAATGGGGCTAGCACCAGCTCAAGACGGGTGGCAGCTCGGCGATGCAGAGGCTGGGGCAGTGAGGCACGAGGCTGGGCATGGGCCAAAAGCCCAAGACACTTGCATATTTACAAAGGGTAAGTATTGCTACCTGGTAGAGGCTCTAAATCACTTGTCACTGTTTTCATGGTGGACCTTGTATCCACATACCTGACCAAATGGACAGATGATGGTTTTGGTTCCAGGTGTCTAACTGCAGATTGAATGTAGTCTGGAGAGAGGCTGGGTTGTTGTGCATGCGTTTCCTAGATAGTGAGAAGGAAACACGCAGTGAAGCAAATTGCAGAGCTACAAATCTGTATAAACCAATCTGACTAAACCAAAACATTTTCTGTTCTCACATGTGAAGTGGAAACTTGTGGTCTTGGATGAGACCTGCAAGAAAAACAGTTTAAGCTGTCAGCACTGGCAGACTAGCATATCCCTAATTTTTGGAACCTTCTTAATCAGGTGTAGAAAAGAAGCTTTAATTAGTACACTAAAATTTAATAGAAGTCATCTGAGTGATGATTCCTGAAATGTTACTGAAAAATGAAATTTAGAGAGTGAAAAACCTAATAGCAAGAGACACTTTTACAGCTTTCAAATGAGCTCCATCTCTGAAGAAGCTCTGAAGCTTGCTAACATACAGATAATGCAAATAATATTATGAATGAAAAACCCAACACATTTATATGACATCCCTGGAACAAGCTGAGCAAATTATGTTTAAACAAGTAGAAAATATTGTTTACCTATGTTAAACTATTAAAATAACTTATTTGAAACAGTTTTGTTAGATGAAGATGCAAGACAAGTGCTTGTATAGAATCGTGTATGTAGAATTTCTTCTAGCAGGCATGGTAATACACATGCCAGAGTAGCACGGACAAAAAACCACTTTTAAGTTAGTGTGAATCTATTCCATTCAGGTATAGAAATATAACCAACCTCAGCATCCTCAAACCAAATAATTGTTAGGAAATGTGATTAAAAAAAGCTACTGATGAAAGTAATAAAACATCTGCCAAAGAGAACAGCAGAATCAGGATGTGATCTATAGTTTTCAGTGTTAAAAAGCAGAATAGCACCAAGGAGCTGTAAGGGTTGTCACTTGCAAGCATTTGGCCGCTGTACGAGAGAAAAATGAGGATGAGTTGACAGTTAGAATAAATGTCAGTTATTGGGGGCTCACAGAAGTCTGAAGAAACAAATAGGGCAAAGCAAAGAAATCCACTTGTCCAGTAAAATGGTATTTTGATGTCTGAGCCTGGCTGTGAATCGCAGGGTGTTAAAAGAAGTACCATATAAGTTTGTAACCTTTGACAGACAGTATTCTCCAAGTCCTAGCAGAGAGGAAAATAGGAGGTATGGAGTTCTCTTTTTGCACAGCATGGTCCCAGACTAGTAACAGCAGGCCCAAAAATGTCAAAAAAACCCAAACAAACAGAAAACCAAACAGAACATGTACTGTTAACACTTTTGGGCTGAAGTAATGTTGATTTAAAAAAAAAAAAAAAAGTTTAGGATCCAAGCAACAGGACAGGCTACTTTAGAAGACAAATTCAAGCATAGTTAGTAATATGCTTTTTAGTCTGGTATACTTGTCATCTTGCCTTGAAGGAAGTTAGCGTTGCACAATCTGTTTTAAAAAACTGGGCTTCCCAGGCCTAAATACTGGAGGTATCATCTTGAGAGTCCTTTGGTAATCACATAGAGCTGAACAAGATGCAGAATAAAGCAGGCACTGTAACTGATCACTGAGCAATGGGGAAAGACATAGGACCATTTAACCCAGTCCTGTGCTTACAAGAGAATTGACTGAACCTAGAAGCTGAATATGTGAAATCTGAATGTTAGGCCCTGATGAAGAAGAGGTTTTTGTCTGACATCTAAATTCCTGTTGGCAGTTGGACGATGGCTTTTTGTTGGTTTGGTTTGGTTTTAAGGAACTGAATGTCTGTGCACATATATTAGGTCTAATATGCTAGGATACGGTTTGAAGCTTTTCCTGACTGGCCTGATCAATCATGTTGTCAGCCCTAACCTTCAGTGATTGATTAAAGAGCAGAACTCATCAAAAGTGATTCACTATGAAGAGATTATAATCTGACCATTTTACTGAGGTGATATATTAGTCATAGTTTACGATAATTCTTTTTTTTTTTTTTTAATAAATGCAGTCTGAGATTTCTGTTGTTTTCAAATTTAAATAAAAAAATAGTAGAACTTATCCAGCATTTCCTTTTTCGTTGTTATGATGACAATACAAACCTTAAAGGTGACAAGGCAATTATTTAAAATATAATAAAAATTACGTATGCCATGGTTGCAGCGAGGCTTTATCAGTTTTGTTGCTAATGGCGTTGGCATTTGCAGTGACATCTCAAAACTCAGTAAAAGCTAATACTTGTGCACTTGCAACCTGTTCTTCTAAGTAATGTGGAACTGATGATTTGAGGAAAGTGTCTTATTAAAACTTTATAACAAAAATGTGAAAGAAGAAGATATGGTGGTTATGCTGCTTCTTTCAAATAAGATGTTCTCTTCAATAAGAACATCCCAATTATGTTAATATAATGTGTCAGTATCTACAGAAATGTTATCATTCCAAAAGCTCCCATTGGCATCAATGAAAAAATGCTTAATGAAGGCAGATGGTGGCATTTGAGTTTGTGACTTCATTTTTGTTCATTTGTTTTCTTCTGGCGGAGCAAAGTTTCGTATCCACTGCCGGTAGAAGTAATGACTAAGATCTCAGTAAACGAAAAAACCAGAAATATTGATAATTTTTCTCTCACTTTCTGCTTAATTTATTTTAGTGATATCCACATACCAGTGAAAGTAATGAGAATATTGCCACTGATTTCAGAAAACTATGTATCAGGAACATTTTGCATTAGATAACAGTTTGTCATATAAGCAGTTTTATTCTTTCCCTGGGGAACTCAATTTATTAGTCATTTTCTTCTGCCAGTGTGGGTCTTACAGCCAGTGACAGGAACAATGGCAAATATATAGTAATAAAACTATAAAAATTGGCAGAGGCGTTCAGATGCAATTAAATTATTCCAGCTCTTTAAAATAAAATCTGATCCAATATCAGGTTGTCAGTTTGTGTAATGAGTTTCCAGTTTTTAAAAATGCACTACAGTCTTAATCCATAGGTCTGATCCAAATAAGCAAATGGAAAGATACCCACTGATTTCAGTGAGCTTTGTATCAAGTCCTCATCACTTTATATGAAGTTCTGGGAATAGTCATCTCCAAAGGAGACTATGAGAATGAAACTCCAGCTCACCTCAAAATATCAGGAATTTATTTTCTCTAATTTATGAAACTTCATGCCATTGGAGAAGATGCTATCTTTCTTCTGAAGCATGGACATAGATTTTTAAGTCAAATATTTCTTTCCAGTGGTTCCAATACTTATCAAGTCTATATATGTTATGATCTTAGATGAATTTATCACACACAGGAATGAACTGATATGACCGACAACAGAATTTAAGCTTGGGAAGAACTGAAAGTGTTGGCTTCTTCACTGAAAGGTTCAAAGTGAAATGCTAAGTTATTGTTCTCTTGATTCCTTCTCAGCATTTATAACTGCTACTCGTAAGAAATTTTTTACTATTTTATAAGGCTAGCATGCACCAGAAACTAGAGAATGTCAAATGATAAGCCCATAGAAATAAGACTTTGGCTGTACTGTTATATGAACAATCTGTTTGAAGAGATCAGGAATAATTGATGAATGCTAGAAATTTCTGTGAGAGCAGATATTTTATAACCACAGTGAGGATTAGCACACATTTCTTGTAAGAATGCAAACTGATATCAATTACATCTCCATACTGAAATGGGATACCCTATACAAGATATATGTGTGCTTATATATATGTATACACACACATATATATGTACATATAGATTTATATATATAAGACAGCAAGGTAGCAATAGAGAACAAGTGAACAAGCATAAGATGTCTTTTCCCCATTAGGTAAAGTATAGTTTTACTATTGTTCTGCAGTCAGACCAAGATAATTTCTTTCTGGAGTAGGTAAGAGCTTTCCTGAAGAGTGGAATAAGATGAAAATGTGATATATATACATTGCATTATATCTGTATGGTCTATCATATCTATATATAGTATATTGTAACATACAGATTGTATACATATGATAGGCATATATGGCATAAAAGTAATGATTCATAACGATAATATGTTGGAAGCCTTCTGTGCTTTCCTGTGAGACATTTATCTGACATGTTTTGCTTTCTGGAAAACAGTCATGTGTATATGATATTGCATATAATCAGCTGCAGAAGGTTTTTATTGCATTACCTGTGACAAAGCTGGCAAGCACTGAAGCGCCCATCTGAAGCAGGCTGCTTCTGTTAGCGGAGGAAAGAAAAGCGAGATGCTTAGAACTCCCCGTTCTAAGTGAAATGTTAGGCAGAGATGGACTATGGACTATCTCAGCAGCTTCACAGTAAAGGCTGGGTGCCAGGATTTCACAGTGCCTGCTACACTCTTGTTTGAACAGGAGCGACTGGTCTCTAGGACACAGAAGCAGCTCTCTGGTGTGTCCCAGCTATGGCCAGTTGCTGGGTGTGGGTATCACGGCTTTGCCTCTTCCCATACCTCCCTCCCTCATGTGTAATCTTGCTCTGGCAGGACCATAGCATGCCTGTGCCACCTGGACCCCAGAAGCTACTAATACAAGACGGTCTTATCAAACCATGAGAGTGAGGAATAAGAGCCCATCTCACATTGCCCACCCCAGTTCTGCGTGGCTGCGTTCGAGTCACTGACTGGTCCAAAATTCTTGTCTGCAGTTCTCTCACTGGCCTTTTGCTGCTCATTTTTGCCTGGTTCCAGTTAATTTCTGCATGTTTTCATACATTTCCTATCAGATGTGTAACAGTTTCTAGGAAGTAGCTGGCAGCGAAGGTCAGCCATCTGCCTGGTAGCCATGGCTGATGCTATATAAACAGAAGAGAACAGGAGCCACACTGAAGATGAGGTTTACCTGAGGGGCTAAAGTGGTCAGGTATCAGCAAGACAGAAATGCTCTGAATAGCTGGAGAACACCAAGAACAAGGATTTGGAGCATGAGAAGGAGTAAAGGGCCAGGTGCCTGATCACCCGGGGAAGGGAGGAAGAGTAGAGAATGAAAGAGAGACTTGTAAAGGGATGTAGCCAATGCGGAGGAACTTCAGAAATGCATTTTCTGCATTCAACAAATCTTCAGAATTCAAAACAAGACTTTAAGTATGACTTTGCCAAGGAAGTAGGCGACCTGTTTTAACAGGAATGGAAACTGCATGTCCCCCAGTAGGAGGGGAAATGGCAAGACATTTCAAGACAACATATTTATAAAAAGTGGTGGATACTATAAGAAAATTTCAGCAATGCAGGCTGACCAAACTCTAGTAATTTTTCATTCCACTGCAGGGGTGGAGCAACCAGTAAATGACGTGAAAAACACTATAAAAAGTATTCCTTGATGTAAGATAATGCCATCTGAATATTGCTTTGTGTATTGCTGTTAACTCTTCCGTTTTACAGGGATCAACACAAGCAGCTTCCTTAATTTATAGTATTTAAAAACCAGGATACATGGTGAAAGTAGAATTCACTTAACTGCAACTTAATTGAAATATATTCCTCTGAGTTCTTCCGGAGGATGGGAATGCTGAAACATAAGTAAGGATTACTGTAAGAAATAAAATACTAGAAAAAGGTGAAGCAGGCAAAATGAAACTTAGCATACCAAATTTCATATACTAGTAAAAATTGGCTTACAAATATTCTTTCCAGAGAGACCAGTTGCAAAGCATAGCAAAGAATGAAAGTGTACCATAATACACTACCTAAAAAGGCTCATTTAAAAATCTGAGCTATTATTGAACAGTGGCAGACAGTTTAATAGCACATAATTCTCAAACCATAAGAGCTTTAATATATTAATGAGGTAAAGTGGTGAGTCCTGTTGCTACTAGGATATACTATGTTTGTGTACTATATGCAAATCCAGACAAGCTTTTTAAGCAATTGTTCTGTGCATGTAAAAAACTACCTGAAGTTAGTAAGATTGTTTGTACAGACGTATATCTGATGTCTAAAACAGTGGAGTTTCTTTTTGGTTATTTTTTCAAGTGAAGATTCATATAGCTGGATGCTGGATATGTTTACTGGCTTTTTATGCTATTTCTGCCCTACTTCACCTTTCTGTATCATTCTCCTGAAGTCTCCTGGGTACGCTTGGCAGTTTGATTATGTCTCATGTCTCTATTGAAAATATTACTTGCCTCCTCTGTTACTGGAATATTTGATGTTGCTTATATTATCAATTGCTTTTAAAATGAGTGGTTTTCCCTATTAAAGTCCATATAGAGTTGAATATCAAATAACAGCATTTTCTCCTCACCCCTTCTTCTTTCTGGGTAGATTTAAAGAGTTCTTTGCAAAGGGCAATACCTCAGTTACATTTATGAGAGAACTTAACTTGTATGCAAGAGACATTTCCTAAAAAACTTTCTAGGTTTCTAGCAGTTTCCATGAAATAGGTTTGATTTCAACCCTGTTAAATTATGAAGATGTATACCATAAGGCTTTGTTTAGAAAAGCTGAGATGGTGGCCAAATTGCTTGAGGAAACATAAAAAGATTAATGATTGAGTTCTGCCTGGCTCCCACATTCTCACTTCCTGAATCAGTGTAGCTGAGACATATCACAAAGATGACACATATTGACTCTGGGGAGGGAGCAGCAATTATTTGCCTTATTATTTTCCATGTCAGGCAAGTAATAGAGCAATATTGTGCCAGCCAGCGAAGGAAGAAATTTCTAGCTTGTCTGTCCTTCAGCTTGAAGGGCTGTTGTACATACTTCTCAAAGAGGGGTATATATTTGGAAATTAGGACCTTACTGCAAAGAAGAACAAAAATATCTAGATCTTCTGCTAGATTCTACTTTGAAGCAAGACAAAATACCGGGAAGTATAAACAGTGCTACTTTCTATATTAATGTCCTTCCACGGAAGTGGCCTATGGATCACCAGCTCCAGAAAAATTATTTTGTTGTGGTGTTGCGTAGTCTTTCACCCACAAGGTAGAGCAAAGGTGTTTAATGTTTGTTTAGTCATTCTCAAATATCTGTACATGTTGCCTTTGTTGTTTGTTTCTTTTATAGATCTATTTGCGATTCTTGGACTACGAGATGCAGAATTCCAATGAATGCAAAAGGAATTTTGTAGCTGTCTATGACGGAAGCAGCTCTGTGGAGGATTTGAAAGCGAAGTTTTGCAGCACTGTTGCTAATGATGTAATGCTGCGGACAGGTCTCGGTGTAATCCGCATGTGGGCAGATGAAGGCAGTCGAAGCAGCCGATTCCAGATGCTCTTCACATCTTTCCAAGAACGTAAGACCCTAATCAATGCATCTGTCTTTCAGTTTGTTAAATGATACAAGTCCCAAATACTGTTAATGTTTTCTTCATGCAGAATAGTCACTGAAGAATGTTCCCAAACAAGCTAAGTAAATATTCGGAACAGTTTTTATTCCAAGCACTTACAGTGTGCAATAATTTGTAACACAGTGGATAGAGCACAGGATTCAGAGACAGGGAGACAGGTACGAGTAGTCATGACCTGTCCAGTCGTATGACCGCGACTTTTATCTTATCCCCAAGTTACAGGGCCACTGTGTCTCAGTTTTCCCTTACATAACATGGAAAATAATACAGCTCTGAAGGTTTTTATCAAGCCTGATCCTTTTCGATGAATGTGATTTTTTAGATCTCATTATGATAGGCATTTGTAAAATACCTTATGATTATTTTATTACAAATGGTGGGTGTGTTTGTGCATATTCTAGAATGCATATATCAATAAACATACATATCAGATATTGTTAAGCAAAGAATTTAGTTAATTTTTTGTAGCAACAGAAGTTTTCTAAAAGTCTTACATGATATTTTGGTTAATATTCTCTCTGTGCGCCTTGCCTGCATTGATATGTTTATATGATTTCTGGACTCAGATAATGAGCAAAACAGCCTCTGAAAGAAACAAAAGGTAGTTCTAGCCAGTTTAAAACAAACAAACAAACAAACCACAAAAAACCATCCACAAAACCCAATAATCCCATTCACTGAAAATGATTGACTCGGGTAATCACCTGTGAAAGATACCAATTTGTTTTCTTTGATGGAAATAATGCATATTTGGTCCCTTGTGGAAGGATTATAAGCATTTATTTTCACGTGCTGGTTCATGTTCATTTTTAATGTATTTTTTGGTTTGTGCATCACATGTCTGACAGGAATATATCTGTGCAGCTGTCAGTGGTTGGAATGAAGGTGTGATCCTACCAAACACATTCTTCATCTGTATTCTCTGTGTGTGTACCCTGCAATGAGGCAATGAGACTCTGTTGAGAACAGCCTCCGTAATTCCTTAATTATGGCTCTGATTAAAAATTTCTGACAGTCTACATGCCTGAAAGTGCATATGCCGCTCTACTCTTACATTGCAGCCTTAGGGTGGATTATATTTTTCTTGTCTGTAAATCAGGCCAGGGTCTAAAAGACATTGAGAACCCTCAGTTGAGATGATACTGCCATTTTCTCATTTCTGCAACTGGAGATGTCTTGAATATTTAAGATCTGATTCATTTTTTTCACAAGGCATCCTGATCTGTTACCTTAGAAACAACTGCATAGACACTGGAGGTTCACAGCATATAAAGAACTGGAGAGTGAAGCACTATGATGACTAACTTGAACTGAAGGTTTGAATAAGTGTGTGTTTGCAAGGCTTTCATATTTTAAAGGAAAATAGGGAAAAATGTAGTTTTTTCTTTTATAGTATTCCTAATATGTTTGCCTGACTTGCTACATCTTATGAGCTACTTTGTTCTAGCAAACAGATGATAGTTTATACTGCATGGTATTCTGGCTGGGAAGCTGAAAATATTAACATGATGTGTTTTCTATAAATTTATTCTGAACAGTCATTGCACGCTAAAAGCTGAAAATTGTGCTAAAGGACTAAATTGTGCTTTGAGATATGTATACACAGCCTGCTCATAAATAGTAGAAGAAACTGCATCTGTGTTTTTAATGCTGGAAATTGACTTTAAAGATTTAAAGGTGTTGCAGATTGTACTTTCTGTGTCATGTCAGTTGTCCGTAAGTGCTGCCCTATGCTGCAGACTGGTGCTGGCTGTCAGGAGTCAGCTGGGGCAGATGTCCGGCGTGCGCACTGCGAGACACAGCTCACAGCATGCAAACTGCAACGTCTTTCAGCAGCGTGTGGGAATAATTAGATCATCTGCATGGAAGAGAAGGAATGTCAGACCTCATTCAGGGAGATGTGCATCAGGGAACAGACACCTGTGTCTCTACTTGGGGACAAAGAAAGAGGAAAAAAGCTATTTTGTTCACCTAGAGCTGAGAAAGAAACAAAATAGAAGATAACATTTATGTTGTGGTTATGTTCATGGCAAAGAGTGACAAAGTAAAATTCCTGTATTTACTGTTGCCATGGAAATGACCAGGAGGTGTTGTGATCTGTAGCTCCCCAAGTTCCTCTCCTTAGTGCCGAGTTAAGTTGCGGAGATTGTGAGTCTTCCCTTACACAAGGCTCTGTGAACTGGAAGTGGTTTTTTGCAGAAACAGGCTACTTAGCCTGAGAAATGTTTTCTTTCTGTGTAAGTCTGTTCAGTGTTAATTCTTGTTATAGAGCCATTTCCTGGGGACTTGACATTTGTGTAGAACAGAGAAATCTTAAAGAGATTTCTTATATGATTATTTTCATACGGTTTGATCAGTGTGCTCCAATTACTTTTGAAATATATATGTCTTTTTTGATGGCATCTAAAAAGTGGTCTTACAAGTTTCCAAACCTCTAGCAGTGATGCTCTGCAGAGCAGCAGTGTCCAAAGGAAAGGCATACAATGCAAGAAGTTGTTAAATTTCCTATGCCAGAAAATCAGAAATGATTCTCACATCATCAAAATAGTAGTAGAGCTCTAAATAACACTTCATAAACAATTAATTCTTAATAGCTGATAATTTAGAGTGATGATCTGATATTTCATGATCAACGTTATTAGCTATTCCAACTATCATTATGGTTTTTTTCTGCTTATGTCCTTACCTTTTTAATCTTTAATATATCTTCTAAGCATATATATCTAATCATATTTTTGTGTATGGTAGTCATTGTCTACAATAGATTTCAAATATCCAATAAATTAATTTAAGAATCAGAAAAAGGAAAACAAGAAAGCTGGTATCATCAAAAGGAGTCTGTTCATCTGGTAAGAAGACTTGTAAAATGAGTCTTTGTTTTTTCACCCGCTGACTAACTGTTCATTTCATTTTCCATGACTGTGAGAGTGATCTTCAGCCTGATTAATGACAGACATGCTACACCTACAGCTTCTTCAAAGAGCTGCTCCTGAGCAGACACACCTATGCTTTAACCTAAAAGCAGATTCGTAGAACCAGGGCATATGGGATAAGAAAAAATCCCTCTGTATGCACAGCAGGCAAGATGTTCATTCTCTTACCTCTGACTGCTATTTGGTAGCACTGCTTCCTTCTCCATTCATAACCATGCATCACAAACCCCAGAACAGAAAAATATCATTCCACCTCTTACTTTTGTTGCCCCTTTGAGCTCTAAGCCTGTTTTTAAAGCCCTGTCACACGTGGCTTTCCTAAAGGAGCACAGGTTCTATCATTCTTATTTTCTTTTTATTAACAAAACCCGTATTGGGATGGAAACCTAGGGCCATGTTTAGAAGAGCAGTGCACACCTTTATCGAGTAACAGCACTCAAGTCCTTGTTTACAGCCAGAATCCCTGAAGGTGGTCACCCCAGCATGGGCAACTCTCTAATGGGGAAAAGGCGCTGCAGGTATGCAGTATTAATGACTGTGTTTATTGTGGTAATGCAAAGGGAACTACTGAGAAAGGGAACAACAAAGTGATAAATGCAACACATGTGAAGAGATGGTTTTCCTTTGCAAGGACTTAGGAGTGTAAATAGATTTCAGCTTTGCTGTGTTTGCTCCCTGCTTCCACACTAATATATAAAAGAGAAGACATTGGGGTTGCCTCCTTACTGGTGAGCACTCACGTGTGATTTTCTTCCCCTCTGTGCTATTTGCAGCTATCTCTAGTGAAAAACCCTCACTGGCTAAGCACCCCATTGACTCTCTGACCCTGAACAAAATAACTGTTTGTGGTGCCTAGAGTGTATACACTGAACACAGACTGGAGCTCTGAGCACATGCTCCTGAGCTGCCATTCTCTGGTGAGTTCGTGTATCAGAAAACCCCCATGAAACCACAGATAAGTGTTTTTTAAAGACTAGATTATCATCTGGTATTAACTATACGCAAAAGTTACATTTATCTTGAACAGAGCTGTCTGAAGGTGGCTGAGAAAGAAAATTCAGTATTAAGCACATTTCATTTTCAAGTTTCTAATAGTTGTATTTTAATAAGAATTTTTTTTTCATTGGTGGCAAATGAAAAGATAAATAATTTTACTTTAGGTAATATACTTGTAGTGTACAGTACTAAAACCATCTTAATAATTTTATAATTTTAATAAAGTAAATGAAACCATCTCTCAGCATGACTGATGAACTGTTTCTTGGAGAGGCTGAGAGAAAACTTCTTCCTCTGTTTCAAGGGCGATTCAAGGAACATCTGAAGAATTTCATTTTTCTCTCTCTTGTGAAGGAAAGAAAGCTCTATTTTTCAGTAAGGAACAGTGGGAAAATCCAAATGATCTATACTTAAAGAATTCACGTACAGAGCATGATGCAATGAGCTATCTTGAGTACATGAGGAGTAGGTGTGAAATATCTAACGAGTTCAGTGTAAAATATTTCTCACACCTAACCATTGTTAAGATTTCAGAATTTTCCCATTCACCCTCAGGAGAAAGCAAGACCTTTCAAAAATGTTATGACAAGAAGGGAAGGGGGGAAGAGAGAGAAGCCTAAAAATAGCAAGTAGGGTAGGGCATTCATCTAAGATTAGGGAGTCCCGGACTGAAATCCCTGTCTTGAAACAGGCTCAAAGGGTAAATCCACACGGTTCAATGAAGTACGATGTCGACACCCAAGCTAGCTTGCTCAGAGCTAGTTCACACCCTAGAAGCAAAGAGTTGCACTAACTGCATGGTGCTGAGAAACAGTGTAAATACACTGGGGAAAGCACTGCACTGAAGTGGGACAGCCAGGCTTCACAACAGGTCTGTAACAAGTCAGCTTTTGACTTCATCTTGTAAAAATGTTTTGATCTGGTCGTGTTTGCATTTTATACCCAAAGTATCCTGTAATGCCCAACAAAATGATGCTCAACACACACAGATAATGTATTTTATTATTAATGTCATAA